GGCTAATTATAAATTTTGAGAACTATAAATTCGTCTGAGTCCTGTCCATGGTCCAGTCGAGAGTCAGTCACACACCCGATCTAAAATGAATTGTTCTCTTTTGGGTTGCGGATGAGTCGTTTGAGCATACAGAAAGCGTCTCAGAAAGCGTACAAAAAGCGTTCAGTGTTCCTTGTTCGCTTTCAATTCGGTACAGATCGCAAAGGGGTCATTTCGCGAGTTCTGACGTACCCAGAGCAAACAGTCCTCATGCTGCTCGAAAATGTTCGCCGATCGTCCGGCTCTCGGCGGTCTCTTTTTCCGCTTTTGCTAGGATTCGATCCCGAGACTCTGACTTACTGGTTCGAGTCGCTACGACTGCGGCTAGTGCGCTAGCTGACGATCATCGTGAACCGCACTGTTGTGCTGAGTTGGGCAAAGCGACGAATGCGCGCAAACGTACAGACGTGAGCGACTCAAAAGTTAGCTTTTCGAGCACATAGGCGGTCCAATCGCACTCCGGTGGCCAGCTGACGAGCTCCCCGCACACACGAGCGACCTAGAGCGAACCCGTGGCGAACAGAGGCGAATACTGACGACTCTATGGCGTAATATCCGAGCGAACCTGAGCGAACGTCTTGTGCACGAGCGAGCCTATGGCAAATTGGAGCGAACTCAGACAATCGATTGGTAAAATATGTGAGCGAACCCTAGCGATCTTGATGCACCTAGCGCGCGTATAGCAGCGATTCAAAAGCAACTGCTTCGCAACCTAAAAGCGAACAATTCATTTTGGATCGGGCACTATTATCACTCGCCATCTATCGGCAGACCCCCCAACTACGTCGCCACCCAATACGTTCTTCTTTAAGTTCTTCTTGAACCTTTACGTTCTTCTTTAAGTTCTGCCTTCCATTGCCCTATAAAAGCAGGCGCCAGCTTTGACTCGGCGCCACACTGTGACCAGCGCTTGATGTGAATACATCGCTCTTAAAAGACTCTGGACTTTCATTCCAAACACCCCTCTACCCGTTACACTGGTGACAGCGGTAAAGGATTGTGAGGAAAGGCGACGATAGGAGTGCGGTTTACCGCACAGAAAGCGAGCGAGCAGAAAAGCCGGTTTGGTTGCGAAACCTAACCTCCATTCGGTAGTCCTTCCCTCGAGTCGACCCAACCCCCGATTTTTGACCGGGTTGTTCGATTGAAGGTCAACTGTTGTTAAGCTGAGTTTGATTCTGAAAGGAATACGGAAGCGTGCCCTCAGAAAAGAAATTTTCTAAGGTGTACCACCGTGGTATATTCTGAGGCAAATTAAGTAGTAGAGACAAAGAATTGTCTTTTGGCTTTGAAACTGACTACGACAGCGTGACTTTATAAAGGAAACTTTATTTAGATTACCATCGTAGTGTAGTGTCTGAGCAGAGGAGATAAGGCTTTTTAAGAAAACTTCTCAAACTCTATCTCTTTCAAAAGTTTTCTTTGAAACCAAAAATTTTCTACTGTCAAACATCAACTCAAACTCCAATGCTTCAAACTCTCTCTTTATTATTTGCTTCAAACTCTCTTTATTATTTGTTATTATCTGTTACCTAAAATTATTCTAATTTTTGTTATATTTACTATTTATTTTCTGCTATTAGCTTTCATTATTATTGCCATCACAAGCACCACCTTCAATACAAATTAATACCATGTAATTAACGGGTCCACAACAGGGAAATCTCCCTTTGGACCTAATGTAATTTGAGAAAATAAATAAAAATAAATAAAATAAAATAAAAAATAAATGTACCACTGAACTTGTTCAGCAGTGTGCTCTCATCTCAAAGCGAACAAAAATCCTCATTCTATAGTAAATGTACCACTGAATTCGTTCAGCAGTGTGCTCTCACCATAGAACGAACCAAAGTCTTACTATCTCTTACCTTTTCAAGCAATTTTCTTTATAGTAAATGTACCACTAGAATTCTCTAGAAGTGTGCTCTCACTAAAAAGCGAACGAAGAATTTTCCCATTCTATAGTAAATGTACCACCGATTCTTTCAGAAGTGTGCTATCACGATAGAAAGGGAGCAAGGTCTTTTTTTTTGTGGTGTGTACGCCTGTTTTTTTTTTTGGATCAATCGGCAGATCCTAGGAGCTTGCGAGCCCCACGGTAGGCCTGCCCGCAGTACGCGAATGCACTACAGGCAAGATGTTTATATAGGGCCCCCAGCCTTTTTGCTTCATCCGCATCTCGCAATTTTTTTGCACATTGCATTTGGAGCAAAACCGTATTTGCTATGAATTTTAGAGGAAAAACGTTTAGAGGAACATTGCCTTTTTTAGAGGAAAAATTCCAATTTAGATGAAAAATTTGATTTTCATCTTAGATGAAATATGTAATGTTTAGAGGAAAATTGTTTGGACGAACTGCCCCCCCCCCCCCCAGTCTGAGCCCGTTCATTTGGGCCTTGAACCGCTGGGTTCCAATAATTAAGCTGTTACAGGTTTTAGTGACGTTTTTTGGCACTTTACCCGTAGATTTTCCAAGTACATATCCTACATTGAAAAAATAAAAAACCTTGTCAGCATAAAAATAGAGTAGTATTAAGAGAAAGTAATTTGTAACACTTACTTTTAGCTGCATTTAAATCTGGGCTGGGTATGCCAGCTCAACCCTCTACACCCTTACATGCCACATATGGCAAACACAGAATGGGCGGTAGCACCAAAGCCTGCATCACATCACGGCACTGAACGAACATTTTACCGCCTCTCTTCTCGTGGTCCAGAAATATTTCATTTAAGCGAAGTTTGTTTATAAGTACATCAATATCAGCAATGAGCCGAATCTGATTTT